CACCATCCCATGGGGTGCTCAAGCTGGGTTTTGGGGGGGGGGGGAGGGGGCCGGGGGGGGGGGGGGTTCTGTGGGGCTGGGTTCCCAGGCAGCAACCACAGCATGGCTAGTGAAAACGCCCGGATTTTGGGGTGTGTGTGTGTGTGTGTGCGTCAGCATTGGATAGTGCATTGCCAATCAGTTGGTAGCCCCTCAGCTGTGCCTGCCCTGTGTGGGGCTGGTGGAGGCTGGCCTTAAAATAGGCATCCTTACGTGAGGCCCCCCTTGGCAGTCCCCACCATCCCATGGGGTGCTCAAGCTGGGTTTTGGGGGGGGGGGAAGTGGCAGGAGGAGGAGGAGGAGGCCGGGGCTCTGGCTAGGCCTTCCCACTGATGAGTGGGGCTGTTGGGGGGCAGGCCGGGAGCCGTGGCTGCGTCCCTGACTAAAGCTCTGTCTTTCTTTCCATGTCTCGGGTTTGGAGCAGTTATAACAGTAAGTAGAGCTTCCGGCCCCTGCTGGGTAAATGGCAGGGATGCCAGGCCCCTTTCACGGTCTGGGGGAGGCAGGGGTTCCCTTTGGGGTCTGGGGGGAGCTTCCACTAAAGTCGCTTGCTGACTTCTTCTCAGCCAGCCCACCTCACCACCTGCGGGGACTCTTGGGGGCCCATCCGGGGTGCTCTGGGGCGAGGGGCGATTCCCGGGGAAGGTCCTTCTGATCCGCCTGTGAGGGAAGAAGGGGGAAGGCCTTCCGGTTGCTTTGATTCACCCTCACTTCCTTCTGTAGATTGGCCAGGAGTTTCCTGTCGCTGCTCCCCACTTTCCTCCAGGCTCTGGGGCCCCTTGGACCCCTGCAGCCCCCAGCTCATCTCTTCTTAGAGCTGGAAGAGACCCACCCACCCACTCCCTCCACCGGGTGTGCCTGCGGGCAGCCCTGGTCTCGCCCTGGGGCTTCAGACACTTCTTTGCTGGGGGGGTGGGTTTCCCTCTAGAGCAAGGGCTTCTGCAGCTGGGTCCGGTGCCCCATTCCTGCTCTCAAGCCAGAGAGGGGCTTTCCCCCCTCCCCAAGCGCTCTCCGGAGGGAGGGAGGGAGGGAGGGAGGGCGGGGGGGGGAGTCCCGTGGCGTCTAGAGGTGGTTGCAGGCCTGGCCCCTCCTTCCCAGCGGAGACAACTTTCTCCTCTCCTGACTAGAACGAGTACATGAAGGATGACTTCCTGATCAAAATTGAAACCTGGCACAAAGCCGATATGGGCATGCAGGAGAATGTAAGTGTGGGGACTTTGGGGTGGGGGAGTCTGTCTTTTGGTTGCAACTCTACTGGGGACCCTCCCCGGGGGCTTTTCTGGCAGGAACGGGAGACGAAGGAGGGGGGGACAGGCTGTCTACTGCCCTATTCTCCGCATGAGAGTTCCCTGTTCTTTTTGCTTTTCTCTTTGCAAGGAGGCCAGATGACACCCGGCTGACCTTTTTTTTTTTTTTTTTTAGTTTTAAATTTTATTTACAAACATGTAAAATACACACAAAACACCACATTTGCACAGTACAATACGAACAGGAGCTTCCTGTTCTTTTTAATAGCTGACGTTTTTAAAATGTCGACTGTATCACCCTCGATAGCAGTTCGTTCTTGCATGTTTTTCCTGAGGAATTCTTTTGCAGCTGCTCCCCCCACCTTACAAATTCACTTTCAAGGCTGCCCTGAAAGCCAGAGCGGAGGGGGGGGGGCCTCAGAGGTGGACTGAAACCTGCCCCTCCTTCTCCCTGCAGGTCCATAAACTGGATCCTGAGGAGTGGAAGAACGTGGAGGCCGTTTACATAGACATTGGGGACCGGAGCCATGTGCTTTCCAGGGTAGGGGGGGCGGACCGGTCTACGGGGGGGGAGTGGCCACCCAGGAGCCACCTGGCTGGAGTCTCTGAGGTGCCCTTGGGGGCCACTCACCTGCAGTGGCAGAACGAGTTGTGAGGGGCACCTCTCTGCTGGCTTGAAGTCCAGGTGGTTGGGGGCCTTCTGTGGAGCCAAAGGGGGGAGCGGGGAATAGAAGGCCTCTGTCCTGTTTTCAAGTGGCTTTACAGCCCCACCAGGCTGGAGGGGGGCTGGGTGGAGGAGGCCCACCCAGGCAAGTGCCGGGAAAGAGGGTGGGTCTCTTCCCTTTCCGTAACCTCCCGGTTCCTCTCTCATCTCACGCAGGACTACAAGCCAGAAGAAGACCCAGCAAAATTTAAATCGGTCAAGACTGGCCGTGGCCCTCTGGGCCCCAACTGGAAGGTAGGGAGCACCTCTTGCTTGCTTGCTTGGGGTGGCTCCGGGGCTCCACTCGGAGAGTGCCAGGGGCCGAGCAGAGCTGGAGGGGAGAGGGCCAAGGGGCTGCCCCAAGACTGCCCTCCGGGCAGCCCGGGCCGATCTTGGGAGGAGGAGGAGGAGGAGGAGGAGGGCGGCCGTCCTGAGTGGTGGCCGGTGGGCTCTTGTCTTTCCAGAAGGAGCTGGGCAACCAGTCCGAATGCCCGTACATGTGTGCTTACAAGCTGGTCACGGTCAAGTTCAAGTGGTGGGGCCTTCAAAACAAAATTGAGAACTTTATCCAGAAGGTGAGCAGAGTTTAGGGCAGAAGCCGAGGGGGGTCCCCCAGCGGCATTTGTGCAGGGGCTGCAGCCGCCTGGGCCCTTCAGGAGGAAGAAGAAGGAGAAGATACACCCCCCCCCCTTGCTGTGCAGGGACGTCCTTCCCGCCAGGCCTTTCAGCTTCAGGGGTTTTTCCCACTTTCCTGCAGCAAGAGAGGCGGCTTTTTACGAATTTCCACCGGCAGCTTTTCTGCTGGCTTGACAGATGGGTTGGCCTGACAATGGAGGACATTCGCCGGATGGAGTACGAGACAAAGAGGCAGCTGGATGAGGTGAGCGCTCCCTGCCTGGGCCTGGTTCTCTCTCTCTCTCTCTCTTTCGCTCCTTGTCCGAGTCCTGGAGGTGACTGGCCTTTTCTCTGCCGCAGATGAGAGAGAGGGACCCTCTGAAGGGCATGTCGGCTGCAGACGAGTAGCGTGGATTCCTTGACCCCATGGTACGTGGCCAGTGGTGCCCGGCATCTGCTCCCGGGTTCGGAAAGAGGAGCTGCCCCTGGAGGGGCCCCTAACGGAGCTGCCTCCCTCATCGAATCGGACCCAAGATTTGGAAAAATAACTTTACCGGGAGGATCTGCTGCTGGGGAGGGAGAGAGGCCGTAAGGCTGAGTGGGGGGCTGGCAGGAGGTCAGAACCAGGCAGAGCCTTTTCCAGGCAGGGACCGAGAGGTTTCAAGCAGCAGCAGCAGCCCACGGCTGCCTGGCGGTGCCGCTCGGCCGGCCTTTCAGCCCCTGGTCCCCTCTCATTCCTTCTCTCTTCCTCCAGTTTACGAGAGAGTCTCCGCGAAGGCCCAGGAACTCCACCCTCTTGACCAGCGGACCGTCTCCGGACATTCGAGCCCTCTTCCTCCAGTCCGCCGGCAACCTCTGCCCCCCTTGCTAATTCTAGTTGCCCTTAACCTAGTGAGCAAATCCTTTGGTCCTGAGCGCCTGGGCGGCAGTGCCCGGGGAAGAGGCGGCCCTTCAGGACAGCTGCTTCCGTGACCACCACCCCCTTTGCCCCCCCAGGGAGGGGCAGACACCGGTTCTCATGTGACTCTTTGATTTCCAAGTGGCAGGTTTTGTTGAAGTCGTTTCGTGATGTAATGATTTAAGAGTTCCTCGGTCCCTGTCTTTTTTCCCCCTCTTCCGAATCCTGGGATGGCGCTGCACTTGTGGAGACGGGAGTTCAGCGCCACCAATGCTGGGATCCGGAAGCCTTTTTTCTCTGTAAAGAATATTCTTGTCTTGGGTGCATCTCTGGGCCCCTCGGCCTAGGCGTGGCTGCCGGCACACGGTTTCCCCAATCCCCTGTGGTCTCCTCTCCTTACCCCCCACCCCCTCCCCCGGCCTGAGGCCGCCACTGCTGCTTCTTTGGGGCTGTGCGTCCTGGAGCTCAGGAACAACAGTGGAAGCCCCTCTCCACTCTGAGAGTGGGGAGGGTCTCACTCGTCTGACCAAACCGCATTCAGCTCTTCTCTTCCAGGGTTGCCTGAATTGGGGCTTGTGCTTCTGGAGAAGGTCCCCGAGCCCCAACTCCCCTTCAGGCAGTCGCATGAGCAAGGAGGAGGGAATGCCCACCAGTGGGGGGATCTCTGCCTCCCCCTCCGCAGCAATGTCGGGCGGGTGGGGAGGTTAGAGTGGGCTTTGGGGAAGACAGGGGCTCCCCCCCCCCATCACCATTCCTTGCCAGCCGATTCGTTTCTTGCCTTAAGTGCAATAAGCAAGCCTGTTCTGCTGTGGCGAAAGGGCCTCCCTGGGCAGGGCCCCCGTGGCTTTGTGTTGAGCCGAGAGGGCTTTTCAGGAAGTTGGCGCTTCCTGGGCTCAGGAGGCAGAATTAAAGCGGGGCTGGAATGTCCCCGGCCAGCCAGGTCAAGCCCTCTGGGATCCGGCTGTGTCCCACCAGTCCTCCCTCTCCTCTGAGGCACAAGGGCGCCCAGTAATCCCCTCTCCCCCAAAACCCAGGGAACTACAACACAGGGAATTATTGTGTGGCTAAGAGGATCTGCTCAAACACGGTACTGTTCCCACTCCTGCTTAAAAGATTTGGGCTTAACTCTGAGGCGGGTGGCAGTGGATCTCGGAACAGATGGTGACATTTTGAGGATGGGGGAGAGAATTAAAGCGACTCTATTAGGAAAAGACAGGAATTCTTATGAAAACATAACTTCCTTGCTTAGCAGCAAGACAAGTGCAGAAACACCCCTCCCCCCAATGTCCTGCATTGGAGTTGACCCAGTGCGCCCCGCTGCAGCTGAGGCTCCTGTAGAGCCCCCTGTTCCCCATTGGCAGTGGTGACTGCTCCCCCCCCCCTTTGTTTCCTGCCAAGGAGAGCGAGTGGTGACGGAGGGCAATGCAGCTGCTCCCGTGTGTTCCTGGACCCTGAAAGGGGCTTGTGGCAGGAGCTTCGAGCCAAGGGCAGAGACACACAGAGCAGGTTTCGCTTGCTTTGCGTTGTGACGGTCAACAGGCCCCCCTCCCCCTTTCAGCATGCTCGATTTCCTCTGTTTCTTTTCTGCTGAACCTGCAAGGACTCCCTGACTGGTCCAGCTGGGTTCCCTGTGCTATTTCTTTCTCCGGCATCCGCTCTGTAGGATAGGTTAGATGATCTCCATTGTTCCTTTACTGTGAGTTGTGCCTTTTTTGGTCTCCCAATCTTCCAATACAGGCCTATTGGAAATAACTCTTAATAAAATCATAGACAGAAGATCACCCTGGCTGAGCTTTTATTCCGTGTGACTGGGGAATGGAAAATTCAATCTTTTCCTTACTTTCCATCTTTCTTAATTTCCATTAATCAATTACAGTGACAGCTGAGAAGTCATGTAGGTAGTCCTCAGTTAATGATCCTAATTACTTGTGGCAATTCTGCCAGCTAACTGAAGCAGCTACAAAGTGGGAAATTAGATGACTGCAACTGGGCTTTCCTGCTGGGAGGAGATACGTAAATTCCACAACTTATGTAAAAGCCTGTTAGCTACTCCCCACCCCGCCTTTGGGTAGTCCAAGTGCCGGCTTGTCCATCCCACAGCTTGAGGGATGGGTGGGAATGCTACACACACACACACACACACACACACAGACAGACAGCTTATTCTCTTAAAATCCCTCCCTCTCCATTCTCGGTTTTGCAGAACCGGGAGCGAGTAATTTCTATAGGCAATCTCTCCTTTTCCTGACCCTCCCTTCTCCATTGCAGAGCAGAGGCACTGGAGAGATTTCAAGAGAGGTGCCGGTTCATTTACACATCCAAATAACAAGTTGGAAGGGACCTTGGAGGCCTTCTAGTCCATCCCCTGGTCAAGCAGGAGACCCTATACCGTTTCAGACAAATGGCTGTCCAATCTCTTCTTAAAAGCCTCCAGTGTTGGAGCATTCACAACTACTGGAGGCAAGTTGTTCCACTAATTAATGGTTCCCACTGTCGGGTCTCCTTAGTCCCAGGTTGCCCCTCTCTTGATTAGCTTCCACCTGTTGCTTCCTGTCCTGCCTTCAGGCGCCCTGG